CTTTGCAATGCCCCTCTGCCATGCCACCCTGCCTTGGAGCCAGTTAAGTATGGACTGAAACCTCTACATACTGTGAACTAAAATAAACTTCTACTTCTCTAACTTGTGTCAGGCATTTTGTCCCAGCAACAAGAAAGTAACAAAGACACAAATGAAACCTAAGAATTTGCTTGTTGAAAGAAAACACTCACATACGAAACATCTAGAACAGGAAGATCTACAGAGACAGAAAGTAGATTAGTAGTTGTGTATGGCTCAAGGTATTGAGAGGAAACTGGGAGCAACTGCTAATGGGTACACGGTTTCTTTGTGGGGTGTTAAAAGTTTTGGAATTCAATAATAGTGATGTTTGCACAACTCTGTGAATACACTAAAACCAATTAAACTGTATCCTTTAACTAACTGAATTCTATAGTACTTGAATTTTAAAGCTGTTATTTTTTTATTTTTAAAAAAGATTTTCCAAGGAGAATTTTATTTCCAGGAATTAGAAAGGGGAAATATACACTTACAAAGCCCAAGAAAGTAGATGCATAGGGCTACCAACCAGCATTTCATTTAGATGGAGGTCACATTAATTTTTTTCTGCCTATCATATCATACTATGAAGGAATGGGTTTGGAATACATTCACCATATGGAAATCAAAGACAATGCAAGGCAATTCAATTTACTATATTAGAATCATCCACTCAGGTTAACTATTGATCCTGCCATTTCCTGACTCCTTAGGTCAATTTACAATATCTTATACTTGACGTAGTCTGTTAGGTTTCTAGGTGTGCCAAAACAGAAACACCATGCAGAAGTAAGTCTGATGATACTACATTACTATTGGTTATAATTATGGTTAACTAAAAATGATTCTGCATAATTATGAATTATAATTATAAGGACAAACTAGTACTAACACATCTTTTCTACCAAACATTTAAGGAACTCCAAGAATTATCCAGCTATTATCTGGTGAATTTCAAATCATACCAAAGACACAGTGTATTTTTCTATCAAACAATAATGACGAACATTGCTGGTATACCATATGATTTTGCTGGAAACTATAAATAAGCATGAGCAAAAATGGTGTTTACCCATATCTGTTGAACAGACTCAACAAATCAGTCCTCATCTTTCCTTTTTCTTTCCTGTTCTGGGGATGAAACTCAGAGCCTCTCCCATGCTAGGCAAAAACTCTGCCACGAAGCTCGATCTCCAGCCCCCTCCCCCATCTTTCCTTTGAAATGAATACTCCAATGACCACCTTACAGAACAAGCAATAGATAAATTGGACCTGTCCTTGGGGTCGTCAATTTCACAATGGCTCACTACAGATCATTTGTGGGTATGTTGGTCTGTAGAGGCTGTTGTAACAAAATACCACAGACTGGCCAGGGATTTAACTAAGTGGTTCCACCTCCTGCCTAGCATGCACAAGGTGCACACGCAAGGTCCCGAGTACAATTCCCAGAAGCAAAAAAAAAAGTCTATACCACTCAAAAGGTGGTACAGGATTAATGCCATCCTTATCAAAATCTCAATGGCATTTGGGGCCCAGGATTTAGCTCAGTGGCGCCACGCCTGCCTTGAAAGTGCAAAGCCCTGAGTTCGATCCCCAGTACTACAAAAACAAAAACAAAAAATACAAACAAACAAACAAATACCACAGACTGGATACCTTAAACAGCATTTATTTCTAAATTCTGGAAGCTAGGAAGTCCCAGATCAGGTGCCAGCACGGTCAGGTTCTGGAAGGGCCCTCTTCCTGGCTCTCAGACAACTGTCTTCTTGCTATATCCACACATGGTAGAAAGAGAAAGACAGAGCTCTCTGGCACTGATCCCACCATGGGACCACACTATAACGTGATATACCATCAAGGTGGGTATCTGTGCCCCACGTATGAATAGGGGTACAAATATTCTCTTCATAACAGTGAGCAGAGAGGACATAGAGAAGAACCATAGATCTGGTAGCTGGGCAGGAAGAAGGAAAGCCTTTAAAAGGAAAAAGGTTTTAAAAGAAAAATATTTTCTTAAATTTCAGTGTAAGATACATAAATGTTGGCTACTGTCCACAGTGCTAGTTTTCTTTAAACATCAAACTCGTTTATAAAAATCTTCTATGTCTCCAATGATGATAAGCACAGATGACAAGCATCCACTCTCTGCAGGAGTAGCTTAGAGGTAATAGGTTAGGTCGTAACTACCACTTTTTTAAATTAAAATACCAAAGAGGAGCCCAGCTTTCTCATTGTGAATCCAAGAGGCAGGGGTGGTCAAATGTATGGAGTTCAATATAAAGCATTTATTGGAAATGGAGATTCCAAATCTTTTTGAGTCTTCGTTTTTATACTGTTGACTATTAAACATGATGTGAGCCATCTCTAACTGAAGGGAAATCTAAATTATTTGACTCTTTTTTCAAGATCTTCTGATATCTGAAGATATTCCAAGATGTTGCATAAAGAAAGCTGAGAAACTCGAATTTATTCAAATGCCCAAAAGTTACCGGAATAATATCATACATGATTCTTGAGTTCATTTTCAATAGAGAAAGTAATGTCCCCTTTGGCTGAAATAATATATTTTCCAAGTTGTTAAGAACTTCCCTGCTACAGGGCACTAAAACGTTTTTCAAAAGAGCTGCAAGACATCAATAGTACAATGAAATTATTTTCACATAATCGTAGGTCCCTACAAGACTAGTAAAAGGAAATCTATTCAGAGAATGTGGGAAGCAGATTTGCATTTGTTTAAATGGAAAATATAAAAGAAAATTCATTTATCTATGTGTGAGGGAACAGAGGAAGAAAGTTGATTAAATCAACTAATCAATCATTTGTTCTCAATACTATTCTATCCTCCCAGTTTTACTCCTCTCCTGTTTCTGTTCTATGACTTTTCTTTACTTTGGGACTTTTAAACTATGCTTCCCAAATTTACTTGCCTTGCAACTGGCTACACATGGCTTTGGAACTTAAGCTCTGCACCTCAACTGGCATTACCAGGAGAACTCGAGTGTGCATAGATATGTTTGAACAGATCAGATCCCCAGAGAACAGTGAATCAAGAATACCAGTAAGTAACAAGTACACAGGGCAATATTCAGCTAAGGTTTCAAGGACACCAGAAATACTATCTATACTTGTATTTTCTGAAAATAGAAAAAAATAAACGGAAATGTCTCTTAAAGCAGCCCAAGTACCAGTAATATCCAAGGAGGAAAATGTACTCCTAGGTATACTCAGGTATAACTGAAAATCAAAGGGATAATAGTTTCCTCTTCAGAGATACCCATGAAAGCAGGTTTTGTATCTCTCTCACAAGTGCTGGTGTGGAAAAGAGCAGAAAACAGCAGATTTACCTATAAATTCCTAAATCCAATGTGAGCAACAAAAATGGAAAGGACACGGAAAGCAGAAGATACATTTATTATATGTCCAATAATTGATACGCCTTGTACACACATGCTCTTTGTTCTATTTCAATAGGGCTCAATTTTTTGGGAGTCAAGCCATGAAAAAAATTCTCCCAATACCATCTTTCAAAGTTATCAACTCAGGGAAAATATAGATACAGATATGTATCTAATCTATACATAATATGTACACACATTAGTGGACACACACATATTAACATATTTCTTAAGGGGAAAACCTGCAGAAATAAAAATATAGCCATTTCTCCTCCCTCCCCAGTAACCTACACTTTAAGTTTGGCTAGACTGAAATTTAACTCCATGCATCATATGTTTAGTATCTATTTGATGTTCACTGTTTAGTAAATGAATGTTAAAAAGTATTCAGAAGACAGGTTTTTGTTTTATCAATGTGTGTATTTAACATTCACCCATAAAAACCGCATAAATCTAGACAATCACACTTATGTCTACTGAAAATGCCTTTATGACAGAAGTGGAATCTGTATTACAGAAGAATGGAATGGGATGTCAGAAAAAGTATGAAGACAAATTTCAAACATCTAAAATTCTTCCAAATATGGACTTTTTGTGTCAGTTATCTTGGTTTCCATGGAAATTACGGAAAACAGCCTATTTCTACTTTGAAACAAAGACTGCTCTTGCCCATAATATCACATATAATCATAAACAATCTTTTCATATCCTTATGATGTCACATCAGAGAATTTACACATACAGTTTTTGTAAGAAGTATGCAACATGTTGGGCAAATCTCAACGGAAATGAATCTTGACTGTATCTGTCATTTGTCATTTAAAGAATAGCTCTAACTAGTAGTATCCTTTAAGAGTAGTGAGAAGTACTGGTAATCCTCCCACTAGTGGACACACGGCTTTACTAGCCACTCATTTCAGTCTGTTGATCTCTTCCCTGAACAAGGGGGGAAATCCGTTGTGTATGGAATAGGGTTTCGTTTCGTTTTGTTTTATCCTATCTTTATTCTATATTTCAAAAAAAAATAGGTAGAGAAATGGTGGTTTTACTCGGAGGTTGAAAAAAATCGAAAGGCAACATAAAGTTTAACTTCACTTGGTTGTTTACCACCAGACAGACGTTCCGAAGAAACCATAAAATACGTACAAAATAAGTCTCTTTGAAAACAATTATTTTGTAATAGTGAGAGTGGCCCAAAACACATCTTTAACAAAAAATAATATTCCTTCCTCACAACAAAATCCCACGGAACCTTTGTTCTATTTGTAAACACGAGCTGGGGGCAGAGCTGCTCCGGGCTCGGGAGGTGAAAAAATACGTCGTCCCCATCGCTCGCCCACCCCGCGCTCCGCCAGGGCCGTCTGCGGAGAGAGCCCTCTACCCTCTGCCGGGACGCACCGTCCTCTGGCCACCCGAAAGCCCCATCGGGACTCTGATGCTCCCAGCCTGAGGTCCACCGTCCCTGCTCACCTTCCCTGCAACTGCTCCTCCTCCAACTGTGTGCACTCCGCCAGGCACCCCGCAACCCCCGGCGGCTCGGCGGCTCCCGATCGCAGCTCCCCGGGCCCGTGCCCTCGGGTGGCTTACCGAGCAGCGAGCCGATGAAGATGACAATCTGCACGGTGGTGGTGAACTGCCGGTACAGCTGCACCTCGCCGCCCAGCTCCCCGAGCGCGCTGCGGTTCGCGCCCACCGCCGCGGCGCCCGACGTGTTGCGCGGCTCGCTGGCGTTCGCGGAGAACCAGCTCCCGTTGTGCCCCATGGTGAAGCTGGGGCTCTGGCTCCGCTCGCCGCCCGCCCCTGGAGCAGAGGGACGTGCGGGCACTGGCGGAGCCCTGGAGAGCCGGGGCGGCCGGCGGGTTCCTTCACGTCTCCACATCGCCGGCCCCGCCGCCGGGGAGGCGGGGTGCGAGGGAGGGGAGGCCGCGCCCCATGCCCGTCCCCTCTCGAGCCCCAGTCAGCCGCCCCATGGAGGGGCGCGGGGGGAAGCCCTCCCCGGGGTCTGCGCGGCCGAGCCCACCCGCAGGCAGGGACACAAGGAAGAGGGCGTGCGGCGGTCCGAGGCGCGCCCTCCTCCCCCCAACCTTGGCCTCTAACTGGTCCCCGGGGGCGGACGGGCTCGGGCGCCTCTAGCTGGGAAGGACAGTGTGGCTGAAGCTATTTGTCAGTCCTGCTGGCTTCGAGGCTGGAGGGCGATGTGAAACCCACAAGATGCCCAAGCCGCGTGGTCAGAGCTCAGAGGGGACCTCAAGACCCAGTCGGCGCCCACGACCCGGGACGCCCGAATCTCCGCAGCCCCGCCTCGGGCGGGGAGCTGTCCGGCAAGGCGCCCCTCGCGGAGGGCTCGGACCCCCGCCCGCAAAGACGCCTTCTGCAGCCCTTCTGGGCCGCTTTGCCTCTGCACTGCCGGCAGCCCCTTTCCTGGCCTCCCTCCTGGCCCCTCCGCTGCTGGGACAGAGCTTGGTGACCTCGCAGAGACTGTGGAGGACGCCTCTTGCGGGGCTGTAATACAGACCCCGCGGTTGCCCGGCTCCTGGCGCGTGCCTGGGGCGGCCCAGGGCGCGTGGCCCGCAGGGACGACCACGTGACGCGCGCAGCCCCGCCCCTCTCACTGCCGAGGGGGCCGGCGCCATCTTGGTCCCGCGGACTGTGACTTCTGGGGAGCGTGGGAGACGCCGAGAATAAGTGTCTGGCTGTCTTGGACACGCAGCCGACTCCTCCCGGAGTTCGCTTCATTTACTACGGATGTTTCTGTTCTGAGTCTCGTTAGCCGGGGCTACCTGCAGGCTCATGATTGCCTGCGCGGGGAGCCAGGCTCCAAGCCTTAGTCAAACCTTGAGTGTAGCTTAAGCATTTAAGAAAGGTGAAATGTAGGAAGCCGGTGTATAGTTAACAAGGCCTATTTGGGTCTCATTTCTGTAACGGACACAGCTTAAGGGAGGTGTAGTGGGTTCCTGCAATGAAGAGCTGTGGGAACCAGCTCCCTGCTGGCTTGATGGAAAGGTTGGGAAGCTGGGATAACCAACTAAACCAGAATTGGCAAAATAAGAGACGCAAAATGGGCGAAAGAAAACTGTTCGGGATCCGGAGAAAAGAGCGGTGGAAGAGAAAAGGAGACGGGAAAGTACGTAGTAGAGGTCTTTGACATGGTGAATACAATTAGGTCCAAGAACAATAACCTTAAAACTGATTTAAATTACTGTTATTTTTTGGTTGCCCCAAAGATAATCCAGCTGCGATATGGCTACTTCATTTTCGCTGGAAACCCTTGTTATTTACTGTTCTTTGAAAGGCAGAAATACGTGTCTTGTAAATTTTTGGAGTCTCTGAACATCCACACGCCTGAATCCTGTTTACACAGTTACTTTCAACATTTTTTGGAGACCAAAAAGCAAGGAATAAAGTTAATAATTACACTAGTTGTGTTTTTAATTGCCATTTCCAGTAGTTAAAATTAGTTCCAGAAGGCCATACTTTTCAAGATGAAGCCCCTTATGCTACAATCATATATAAATTATAAGAATTGTTTAAGAAAAAGAAGAAACAGAGGTATGAGCTCCACAGGATACGTTTATTTCAGAACAAACCTAAGAAGGACAGCTCTGGCCCTGGAGACCCGCTGGTCTCCTACAGGCCAAGGGGTCTTTTGTAGGGTAGCGAGGAAGGAGTGCAGTGAGATGGGCTTGTGGCTACCTGGCAAAAATAAGGCTTGAGAGAGCCCAAGCGGTAATGGTTGCTCAAGCACATGGAAAAGCGCAGGGAGTAGTGGCTGCTATCAATAGCAGGGCTGATAATGTTATGAGTCCCCAGGCGCAGCTGTGGTGGGAGAGGATGGTTTAGAGGGGTCTCTGATCAGGATGGCTATGGTCGAATTCCTTCAAGAATCACCAACATCCAGCACACTTCAAGGAAGGTCAGAGAAGAATGTGTGTAAATAGAGTTTGTTTGGTAATGGTTGCAGAAATACTTCATGCTCTTCATCCTCCGCCACCTATTCAAAACTATTGGGATAAAGATGGAAAAACAAGTATTCTGCAGCTGTGAGGAGTGGAAAAAGCAAGAAACTTTTCAGTTTTTCATTTGAAAAGTGTGGTGGCACACTCCTCTAACCCCAGCATTCTCGGAGCCTGAAGCAGGAGGACAGAAAGTACAACCAACTTAGCTCAAATTTAGATCCTGTCTCAAAAGTAAAATTTAGAAAAAATATTAAAGTTAGAGCGAGGACTCTGGCGGTGGGGGTTGAGGTGTCAGACGAAATTGTCTACAGCTCCTAAATTGATATTAGGGTACAGGACTCATAGACTCAAGGAAAAACTTAATCAACTGAGCTCACCAAGTTTTTCATACTTGAGGAAGAATTCCCTTGTGAAAATATAAAGCCAAGGACGTAGTTGCATGATTCTAATGGCTATGTGTTATACGAATGTTTCACGGATTACAATGGTGAGAAGTTAAGATATGTGACCCAAGAGATTGAACATGACAAATATATTTAAATATATGTTGTCATCTGATCATCTCCCATTGCATCACAAATTTATTGGCTTGGTAAATACTGAATAGTTTCTCTGGTATGAGAAACTGAAAGTGTAAATAAGGATTAAAATAAATAATTGATAATGTGAAATAGGAAGAAAAGGTCCAAAGGAATAGAGGAAGTGGGAGGGGTAGGGGAAAGGAAAGAAGGGAAAGGAGAAATTATGAGATAAGAAATAAATAGGGACAAAACTTTTGCAAATAGGGAGGAGTGGAAGGATTGAAGGAGGGCAAGGGAATGGGGAGAAAATGCATCACGTACAGGTACAAGTTCCCAGTGATGAATGTAAATGTATTGTATCCCTAAAATGTACCAATGAAAGAATTTAAGAGAAAGAAATAAACTAATATCTGCAGTGGAAAAAAAAAAACAAATTTAGTGGCTTGAACAACAGCATACATTCTCAGAGATACTCCCGAGTGGGGGCCGGGGCGGGTGTTGAAATCTGAAGGCCGTTCCTTCACACAGCTGGCAGTTTCTGGGGACTCAGCTAGAACTGTCAGCTAAAATATCCATATGTAGCCCCTCCATTTGGCTGCTTGGCTTCCTCACAACCTGGCAACTGTGTGCCATAAGTGAGCATTCCAAGAGTGACAGTCCCAAGAGAACAAGGCAGAGATTGCATTGACTTTTATAACCTGTTCTCAGAAGTCAGGTACCATCACCTGTATTCTCGACTCCATTTGTTGAAGCTGTCACAAACCACTGTGTTAATGGGGAAGGACCTAGACCACAACTCTCAATTGAAGAATGTGGAAGTCATCTTGTAAGAAAAGCATGTGGAATAAGAGATGTCATAATAATTTATGGAAAATATATTCTGCCACAACATTTTCCTTTTGTCAAAAAAAATTTCCCCCAAAAAAGATCAAACTTAGGACCTTGAACTTGCCAGGCAGGCGAGGCACCACTGAGCTACGTCCCCTGCCCAAAATGTCCTATTTTTATGCTCTCTCTTGAATTAAAACTAAACAGGTCAAAACCATGTGAATTAATAATTCATTTCAATTACATAACCATGTCATTTTTTTATTTAGGCTGCCATAACAAAAGACCTTACCATAAATAGTTTATAAACAACAAGTATTTCTTTTTCACAGCTCTGGAGTCTGAGAGATTCAAAACCCAGGCATCCACAAATTCAGTGTCTGGTAAGGTCCTGCTCTGTGGGTCATACATGGTGCCTTCTAGCTGGGGTAGAAATATGTCTGAACATTAGTGGCCCTTTAATGGGCACTAGTTATATTCATGCCAAAGACACTCATCTTCTCATACCATTGCATTGGCAACAAGGTTTCAACATACAAATTTGTGAGGGGAGGACACGAACATTTTGAGACCATAGCAAGTGTTAGGTTTCCATGAGCTGGCCAGTACTAACATCTGTCAACAATCAGGAACATGGCCATGACTGAAGACAGGTGATTAGAACTTCCAGGCTTATGTGCTTTTTAGTTTTTATCCAAAACCTTCTAATGCTACAGTTACAGCAGATAATGTATGATGAAGTAAGGTTTGTTTGTTTTTATAAAAAGGCAATGTCTGGCTCTTAGGTGATGCTACTTCAAGTATGTTTTCCTTGCATTCATTTTTCATCAAGAATATTATAAGAAGACATATTCCCCAAATAAAAACACTTTGTGTTCCCAAAGTCTCAAAGTTAGTTGTTGTAATGGTTAATTTTATGTGTTAACTTGACTGGGTTAAGAGAGGCCCAGGTAGAACATTATATGTGAATGTGTCTCTGAAGTGGTTCCTGGAAGAAATTGGTGTTTGAATCAGGAGACTGAGTAAAGAAGATCCAACCTCACCAGTGTGGGTAGGTATCATCCAATGTGCTGAAGAGCTAACTAGAAGAGAAAGGCAGAGGAAGGGTGAACTTTCTCTCTCTGTTTGACCTGAGACATCCATTTTCTCCTACCTTCAGGCCTTAGGACTCAGACTGACCTATACTACAGACTCTTCTGGATCTCTAGCTTGGAGACCGCACACCGTGGGACTCCTCAGCCTCCATGATTACATGAGCCAATTCTCTCATATATTTGTGTATATTCTATTGGTTCTTTAGAGAGCTGTTTAGCACTGAGTATCCGTTTTCCTAGAGAAATAATGAACATGGTGATAGGGCTCCCAGGCAGAATGGGACAAGGAGGGAGTTAAAGGTTGTGGGCAGTCAGTATACTCCAGGGGATCCTACTCAATCTGTATGTTTACCTCTCTCTCTGGAAAGTTCTATCCCGTTCAGTCATCACAACACTTAAGAGAATTACTCTTCTTCAAGTGCAGTAGTTCTCTCATTTAACACATTAAGCCCCTGTGTTAGGGAGGCAATTAGGATTAGTGTGAAATACAACAAATTTTTATTTATTTCCTCAATCACCTATTCCTGAGATAATCACATAAATGAGATTTGCTTGTGGATTTTATTTCTTGTAGCCATGGAAAAATAAGTATGATGGTCAACTTCATGTGTCAGTTTGGTCACAGTGTGCTCAGATATGTAGTCAAACGTTATTCTAGGTGTGTGTGTGTGTGTGTGTAAGAGTATTTCTGAATGAGATTGTTACTATTTGAATGAGCAGACTGAACAAAGCACATTGTCCTGCCCTATGTGAATAGGCCTTATCCAAACAGTCGAAATCCTGAAGAGAACAAAAAGGCTGAGAGAGAATTCTTCCTTGGGAACTGCCTTTAAGTTGAGATACTGGCTTTTGCCTGCCTTTGGCTTTTCCTGGGCCTTTGGCCTGCTGGCTTTTGAACAGAAAGTCCACCATTGACTTTCCTGATTCTCGGGCCTTTCAATTTCAGTTGGAACTATACCATGTGCTCTCCAAGTCTCCAGCTTGCTGACTGTAAGTCTCTGGGCTTGTTAGCCTCCATAATTGCATGAGCCAATTCTTTATAATACACCTCTTTCTCTATTTACTATGTTTGCCTGGCTAACATGGTAGGTCTTTAAAATACACTGTTCCCTTTCCTGCTAATAAGTACTTTTCCAACAAGTATGT